GAAAAGAATGTGTTTGGCCGGGCGCGGTGGCTCAAGTCTGTAATCCCAGCACTTTGGGAGGCCGAGGCAGGTGGATCACGAGGTCAAGAGATCAAGACCATCCTGGTCAACAGGGTGAAACCCGTCTCTACTAAAAATACGAAAAAATTAGGTGGGCATGGTGGCGCGTGCCTGTAATCCCAGCTACTCAGGAGGCTGAGGCAGGAGAATTGCCTGAACCCAGGAGGCAGAGGTTGCGGTGAGCGGAGATCGCGCCATTGTACTCCAGCCTGGGTAACAAGAGCGAAACTCCGTCTCAAAAAAAAAAAAAAAAAGAATGTGTTTAAACAAAATTATATTCATGTAATTAGTTTACCAGTACTTGTAATTCTTTCTGAAAATGTGTAAAACTGTGTGCAAAACCTTATTCTGTTTCTCTTATTTCACATTTATTGAGCATTATAGTAAATAGGTTAAAGAGTATCTATTTTAATTATTCAAATTAAAAATGATATATAATAAAATCTGAAGACTTAACTTACAAGGATGTTTTTTAGTGTTGAGATCCGTAACAGGATTGCACTCATCTATGTTTTACATTTCATGCCTGAAAGTGCTAGCTAGCATTGAGCAAAATTCTCAATGTGCATTCTTTCTGGATGAACTACAGTTAGACAACTAAATCTGTAATGCAATATAACGTGGCCCTATTAACCTAGTGATGCAGAAAAGACCATCTGTACCACACTGGATTTGACTAAACTATAGGAATAAACTCAATGCCTTGTGTGGTCATTAATTTAAGAAAGCCAGTGAATTGTTTTTTAAATGAGGATTGTAAAGTAAATGATAGAAAATTAATAAAAGTAGGCATTGACTTTCAATGCATCATAATAAGCTTGCAGAATTGATTTGTAAACTGCTTTAAAACTCAATTTCATGTGCATTAAAAACTAATCAAATGACTTCTATGCAGTTCACTGATTTTCAACTTGACAATTTACTTGAGCATATAAAAGTTATTAGAGATAGGTAAGAATGCTTGCAAAACAGTTGTCACGATACACTGTTCCTTAATCTTATTTGTGCAGATTTGTTACTCTTTGTTTTACTAATCCAGAGTTTAATGTTGAATGTACTTGTGCTTTGTCTGTACATTGCCACGTCTTTTACCAGAGATAAGTAGTAGAATGCTTGTTACCAGAGCATAGGAAGGGTAGTAGGATGCGGGAATGGGGAATAAAGTGGGGATGGGTAGTGGGTACAAAAATACAGTCAGATCAAAGGAATTGCATCTGGTGTTTGGTAGCACTTTAGAGAAATTATAGTTAATAATTTATTGAGTATTTCAAATAACTAAAAGAGTGGAATTGGAATGTTTCTGACACAAAGAAATGATAAATACTTGAGATGTTGGATATCCCAATTACCCTGATTTGATCATTACACGATGTATTCTTGTATCAAAAGATCACATGTACTTCATTAATATGTACAACTATATATCCATAATAACTATTAATAATAACTGTTTAATTCTATTTCAATTATTTATAGCACTATTAACTGCTGGACCACAAATGAAAGCTTATAATAATAAATTAGCCTGCTTAAATTCTCAAATTTACTGTAACAAGGTATTTTACATAAACTTATAGATGAGTTAAATCAAGTAAAGAGGGCCTGGTATAGAGTTCACTATTTTCCATGAACTATGGAGCTCTACTCAATCAATATTTTTTGTTAAATATCAGTCAGTACAATTCCAAGAGGTTAAGATTCTCTAATTATGATGGTTAGAGTAATTAAATATTCTAGTTTTCCCACAGTCAAAATTGAACACATTCTGAATCTATTTGTGAAAATTTGTTTACCATGCCAAGTCATTTGGTCAGAGCTGGGACTCAATGGTGAGCAAAACAGACAGGGGCCCTGCCCTTATGAGGCCTATGGTCCAGTCCTGGAAAAAAAATGTTAAACAGAAAATCAACAAGTGCAGAGTTACTAACTGTGGTGAAAGCTATGAAAGAGATGTTAATCTTGTTCAGAAGGAAGGAAAAGCTTCCCCATGAAATAACTTTTGTGCTAAAATCTACGGATGAGCTCAGCAAGGCAAAGTAAAAAGAATCAAACAGCAAGAAGCCATCAATCTGAAAGGAGCACAGACCCCCAGGGGAATTAAAATTCCATATGACTGGGTTCTAGAGAGCAAAGAACAGAGATGAAGCTGCAGAATGGAGATAGTTTTGTCTTCATCCCCAAAGAGAAAGTTATTGATAGCAGAGGAGGATAGTGGAAGGGTGGAATTATGCAATAGTTTACATAATCATATATTAATTTTTCTTTCTTTAGAGACAGAGTCTCTCTCTCTCTGTCTCTCTCTCTCTCTCTCTCTCTCTCTCTCTCTCTCTCTCTGTCTGTCTCTTAGGCTGGAGTTCAGTGGTTCAATCATAGCTCACTCTCACTGTACCCTCAAACTCATAGGCTCAATCTATCCTTCCACCACAGCCTCCCAAGTGGCTAGGACTACAGGCATATGCCACCATACCTAGCTTTTTTTTTTTTTTTGTAGAGATGGGGAAAACTTGCTATGTTTCCCAGGCTGGTCTCAAATGTCTGACCTCAAGAGATCATTAGGCCTTTTCTTCACAAAGTGCTGTCATTACAGGCATGAGCCACTGTACCAATCCTCTGAATTTTTTACAAAATAAAAATTATTATTTTTAATGGTGGACAATAATGGTACAAATGTGAGGAGTGATTAGCATTCTCTTGCAAGAAATTATGTGAATCAGTATAGTAGCTTGGAATGATGGAGGTGCAGTGATGATGAGAGAAATGTAAACAGACACTCCGGAAGTGAAATGAACACAGTTAAGGGATTGATATTAATGGAATATTGGGGATGAGTGGGAAAGAGAGAACAGTATCTAGAATGGTCCTCAAGCCTCAGGCTTATATGACTGCATGGTTGTGATGTCATTCACTGAAGAAAAAAAAAGGCCTAGTCTTGGAGGGTCAGATCATAAAATTGCATTTGTTATGAGATCATAACATATCTTTCAAGTGGAGATATTGATGAATCTATTAAATATACAGGTTTTGAACTCAGAGAAGAGGTCTGCTGGAGACAAATATTTAGGAATCATTGGATTGAAGACAGAATTGAATACGTGCATATAGAAATAAACCATCCACTAGGAGAGTATACTCAAAATGGAGAAAAGTTCATGAGTTTTGAGTGTTCTTCCATGTTTTAGAACCATCTTAAATGCATTGAAGAAAAGTTTATAGTAAATATATTAAAGGTAATGGTGTCATGACATTTAGACAATATAAGAAGGTAGTAAATATTGCTGCCCAAAGATGTAAGTTGTCTACAATTAGACACTGACAATAAGGAGACCTTATTGTCAGTGTCTAATTGTAAAGCTATGAGTGATGTGGACCTAGATTACTGTGGTGACAATAAAAATGACAATCTTTGCATTTTGTTGTAAATAATACTTAGAGAAGCTTTGGGTTACAGATTATTGTTTAGATGCTTTCTCATGTTTTCATGTTCTTTGAGGAGTGGAAGGTTTACTTACCTTATTAGTTTTTAAATTTATAAACAAATTCATGCTTAACATAAAAAATAAAGACATAGAAAGAAGAATGCAATAGATTATACCTCCCTACTTCCAAATCCACCCACTGAGTTAGTCAACATTAAAACTTTGAAGTATGTTCTTCCATATCTTTCTCTGCTGCCCTATAACATATATGAACATATATAACTTTTTGTTAATTTTAATGAAAATTATATAGACATATGGAGTTTAAACTTGCTTTTCTTACTTAACATTGTATTTGAGCAACCTTTCAAAGAATATTATAAGATTCTAAAGAATAAAAAGGCCATAATTTATTCAGTTAATTCTCCTTCTAACAGATAATCCAACTCTTTCTAATTTTTATGCCTTTGCAATATCCCATACGTGAATCGCTGAGTCAAAATAAAAGTGTATGTTTTTTTCATTTTAATAGATATTGTCTAATGACTTTCCAAGGAGTTTGTAGCAATCTGCAACCCCACCACCAAGATGTCAAAATGCTCCCCCGCATTCTTTGCCAGCACTAGATGTTATGCTTTCTTTCATTTACTGCAAAATTGAGGACTAGAAAAATCATATTCTCTTGTTTTACTTTACAGTTTTTACCACTAGTGAGTTATATAGCTAAAAATTAAAGTTAATGTTTAATGTTATGTTTATGTTAATATTTTAATTTTTAACATCTGCTCCTTAAAGTTTATATTTAGTTTTCCTCCTGTGCATCAACCACTCTGAGATATATATATAACATTTTATGCCATACTCTCCAATTTGGGGGCCGTAAAAAAGAAAACAGGAAAAAGATATTCTTACCTGTACAGTGCATCTCTCTTTGAAACCAAAAGTCTTTAAGAATTCCAAATGGAATGATGAGCCTCTCATAAGCAGTGGACCCCGCTCTTTCCACCCAAACTCGACTCACAATGTTAACCAACACAAATCTAAATATGCCAGTTCTGCACTTTACCTCACCTCACTTCCTTCCTGCTACTCCATCATATTAGCCCCCACCATCCATACATGTACATAGTCTATGATCATTCCTAGGTCTGTTCCTGGACATACGATGCCCTAGATTATCTTTTCTTAGAACTATGTTCATCCTTCAATTTCCCTGGAAAAGTGGATGTGTAGTGGATGCATGTTTTTATTTTATCAAAAGTCTTCTGTAATTCAAATGCTTTTATGTCACTGGTATGCATCTAATTATCAGAAACATGATACAATTATTTACTGTTTTCTTACTACTTATATGATACTTCACATGGGTCTCAGAGAAGTTTTCTACAATATCTCTTATTCCAACCATAACTATTAATTCAGTTATTTTTACATGGCATTTAAATATGAGTCAACAATGTCTGTTTTTGTTGCAGGATATATCATTTGTTTTATAATAATGCTCTCTCCTGTCTCCATTTATAGGGAAATTTTTTGGGTTCAAGTTCCCTGCTCTGAGAGTTCTCACTTACAGAAAGCAGTCCTTACCACAAGAAGACCCCGATGTGGTGGTCATCGACTCATCTAAGCACAGTGATGATTCAGTAGCCATGAAGCACTTTAAGTCTCCTACAAAAGAAAGCTGCAGCCCCTCTGAAGCAGATGATACAAAAGCTTTGATACAGCCCAGCAAATGTTCTCCCTTGGTGAATATATCCGGACCTCTTGACCATTCCTCTCCCAAAAGGCAATGGGACCGACTCTACCCTGACATGCTACAGTCAAGTTCCCAGCTGTCCCATTCCAGATCAAGGGAAAGCTTATGTAGTATACGAAGAGCCTCTTCAGTTCACGATATAGAAGGATTCAGCGTCCACCCCAAGAACATATTTAGAGACCGGCATGCCAGTGAAGGTATGTTTGATTTTTTTTAATGGAAACGTATATTAATGTGTAGCAAATGATTATTTGCATACTGTTTTAAGTTTCAACAATAATCCCTATGCATTAGGAAAAGGAATGTGATTAAAAGCTATTAAAAACCTGAGTCCTAAACTCGGAGTTGTTACTGATTTCCTCTTTGAATTCTAGTGAGTAATTTAGTTTTTTCTGGCTTCTTTATCTGTACTTCTGAAATAGTATGATAACCATTATCTGCCTACCACATGGAGTGTTAATTAATTAATGCTTATTATAACATGTGCTTAGGTGATTAACACTATCATCTGAAGCATAATTAATTTTGCTGCATTTAGCAAATGATCATGCCCTGGGAAGAAAGAATTGTGTGCCATCAGAGGGCTATTCATTGACCAGCAATTTCTAAAGGGAGCAGCATAGGAACTGTGATGTACTGAGTGATCAGAAAGCTCTAAGCTGACAGGGGTGCAAGATAGGTAGGAAGAAGGGGAAAAATTTAAAGGGGAAAAAAATCCTGAAAATCCTGATCTCAACTAAAACCAAATTGAAAAGAAAATTAGAATTTATTTATCCCTGGCCTCTTTGTGTTCACATTCTTATATAAGCCAGCAGTGAAATTAAAGATACTTAAAAAGCAATGGCAGAAACAATTCATCATGAACATAGTAATTTATAACGTTGGTTAAATACTTACTATGTCTGAAGCAATGTAAGTACTTGACACACATTAAGTCTCATTTTACTCTCATAACAAACACAACTTAGGAATCATTTTAAGCCCTACTTAATAAATGAGGAAATAGAGGCTCAGATATTTTAAATAAATAACATATATAACTAGACCAAGGTTACAGAGCTAGTCAGTGTGAGAGCCTGGCTTCAAACTCAGGACTGCCTGTCTCCATAGTCTACAATCAAATCTATGCAGTCTTTTTCCTTCCTCACTCCTGCACCTCCATGAAACCTTGCCATAGGTGATTTTTGTTGAATCTCTTGCCTTTTCCTGGCATGAGTACGTCAGACCCACTTTTTAGACTCCCATAGATTTGAATTCTTGAGAGACCTGCTATCCAGGCTGCTGCTAGTTTTGTCTTTAAAACATTAATTCTTAGTATGGGGTATTAGGCACTTTGTCAGCTTATCGCACTTATTTTTCCAGCCTCATTTCTAGCCCCAGAAAGACTCCCTTCCCTACTACATATTCTATTCTACAACTGCACAGCAATAATTTGCCTTTTCCAAAAAATGTAACATGTGTTTTCCTGCTTCACTACTTTGTTATGCCTGGAATACTCTTCCCCAGTCTGTCTTTCCTTACACTACTACTCACTGGCAGGAACCCATTTTCCCCTTCCCAAACCAGAAGAATTAAATCATTTCACACTCGAGTGTGCAAACCAATACTTACATATAGTGCAGCATGGATTACATTTTGTATTTATTGTATATTATATGTCTGTCATTCTTGTCAGATATGTAAGCAAACAATTATGTTGCTGTGAGCTCCTCCAGCATAGGCACTCTGGCATAGTGAGCTCTGCAGCCTTAGTATCTGGCACAATTGTCTACTTCATGGCAGTTACTCAATAACTATTGGCGTAACATTGAGAAGACCATGTGACATTGTAAGGACTGTGCTCATGAATTTTGTTTCAAAATCATGCAGATCAGAAAACAATGAGTTACCTGCTCCATCATACTCTGAAGCTAAACTGAGGTTTTAGGAGTAAATCATGCAGAGAATCTCTATCTGAAGGGTACCATGAAGTAGAGAAAACAGACGAGGTGAAAGAAAGAGTTGGCAGGAAAAAGTTCAAAGAAAGACAAATCAATATCTCAGAAACAGATACAAGAGCAAATTAGCATATCCATTTCAATATGTGGGCCAAAGAGAGGGAAAAATGAAAATACAAGGCTAATTCCCAAATTAGATAATCATCGAAGGCCCTATTCCATTTAGAAATGACAGGCTCAATATCTTCTGACAGAATGAAACCACTAGAATTTGATCTTTGATCAGTGAATCCTGTGGCTGAACAGCAATGATAAATTCAATGTGGTAATTCAAATGATCAGCATATATTTAAGCTAGTTTAGTTAGTGTAGTCACTTTTAGCAATCATACTGACTTTTCAGAAATTGCCTTTTTAGATATTCCCTAGAGAGATCCTGACTTATAACAGTAGTATAATAAAATCAAAAAACAATAAATTTGAAAATCAAACTGATACATAATTAGTGCATTGTACAGAGAGCCTGTGTTGGACAATGGTGCTGAGTAGTTTAGATTATATTTCATGACTTAACTTCATTGTTTTCAATTTATATGCTCTCCATTTAGTGCACAGTTACTGATACAATTATGAGAAAGAATGATTTAATATTTTTGGATTTCTCAGTACAGGTACTATACATACATTTGGTGCTAAGATCATCCTCGATTTTTCTCCCTCACCCAAAGTAAGCTATCTTCAGAAAATGTATTACTTTCTTACAGATTATGCTATAGTCAACATGTGACTATAGATTGATAAATTCAGACTGTATTTTAGAGCAAATTTTAGAGCAATCTTTAGAGGGATTTTAGCTACAAAATCACTGATCAGCAAAAAAGAAACTACACTTCTTAAGACTTTATAATTTCATATATTTTAGAAATTGAGCCATTGATAAGGAAAGATGGAAAACTTTTAGAACTGTTTATAGTTTTATGAATTCATGTAACTGATTAACAGGTAACAGGTGAAATCATGCACAAGATTTCAAATTCAGATTGTGGTCTCCTCATTCAAATAAAAACAAGTTCTCCTGTACAGGCTATCTGCACAGAACTTTAACTATTTTGCAGATATACTAATGCATAATATTTTACCTTATCCTGTCATTTAATCCACATTATCAAGTACCTTAGAACCATACTTTTCAAATCATGTTTGATAAAGAACCAGAATTTTGTTACCTAACTCATCACTGACTTGTGATTTGTGAATGCAATAAAAATATACTACTAGGGGGCCGGGCGCGGTGGCTCATGCCTGTAATCCCAGCACTTTGGGAGGCCAAGGCGGGTGGATCACAAGGTCAAGAGATCGAGACCATCCTGGTCAACATGGTGAAACCCCATCTCTATTAAAAATACAAAAAATTAGCTGGGCATGGTGGCACATGCCTGTAATCCCAGCTTCTCAGGAGTCTGAGGCAGGAGAATTGCCTGAACCCAGGAGGCAGAGGTTGCGGTGAGCCGAGATCACGCCATTGCACTCCAGCCTGGGTAACAAGAGCGAAACTTCATCTCAAAAAAAAAAAAAAAAAATACTACTACTAGAAAAATGAAATATTAAAAAAGACATAAAATATAAATGCCAAGTTTTTTCTTATTAGATCAATCAGTCATAAAATTACTCTGTCAAACTGCTACCAAAGTTTCTACATATTTACTCCAATTGCTGTACTTACATTGTCATGGAGGAATAACAAGCAGATCTCAACTAGGTGCACAAGACACACTCTGCCTTGGAAGGTCAAAGCAGTAATAACTATATAATGTAATGTTTTGTTAGTTTTCTTGGGATTGGTAAATCTTTACATATAATTTTCAGGTTTAATGAATACAATTATAATTTATAACTACTTGCAAGCAGTTGATACTTTACTAATGGTTTTTGGACCCAGCTTTCTTATAGACACATTCATTCTGGGTAATCAAGATCTCTTCCACTATCTCTGCTTGTTTTTTTGTGATTCTCTCAAAGAAGAAAGGGAGTTGTCATCTAAGGCCACAATTTTATTTGCATGTCTTTATCCAATGCAATATCAACTAGCAATGCGATATACCACACTCTTAGAACTACTTCATTTGTAAGCTTTGAAATTATTATGATATATCCCAAGATTTTAAATGGGCACAGTGTTAGCATACATACCAACAAAATGCTGAACAGATTTTTCTTGGATATATATGAATGGTTTTGATATGACAGTGACATTTATTTTAAGCTTGTGTGTTTCATAGCTAGTAATGCATATTTTGTTAGTAGCAAGTATGCAACATTTAGATTGTTGATCTCAAAATAAACATGAAAATATTTATCTCAGATATTAAGAGCCCATTTTATTATAAATAAAATTTTTAAAATTCTACTTATTATACTGAATTCATTGTGACAACATAAATAAAAATGTTTATATTTTTCTAAACAGTCTAATCTTTCATTTACTTCTTGCAATTATTGTTGCCTAAGAATGACTCTTTGATCTATATTTGTTGTTTTTAAAATATACATCGAAGAACGTTTGGAGGAGGGAAGTTAATAAAATTGTGATTAATAATATAAGTTGGAGCCAGGCACAGTGGAGTCAGGCAGAGTGATGTTGTTGTAGTCCCAGCTACTAAGGAGCCTGAGGCATGAGGATTCTTGAACCCAGGAGTTTGTTTATCCAGAGAGATATAGCCAGACCTTGTCCCTAAGGGAAAAAAGGAAGGAAGGAAGGAAGGAAGGGAGGGAGGGAGGGAGGGAAGGAGGGAGGGAGGGAGGTGGGGGAGGGAAGGAAGGGAAAGAAGGGAGAGAAAAGGAAACTGTTGGCAGGGCGCAATTTAAAGTATATGGTAGAATCATCAAAGTCAGAATTTGACATTACAAATCTCTAAACCATTGTAGAAAGTTTTCACATATTAATACTTAAGTTATATCCCCAAATTGGAGAAAACATTTGCAAGTTTAATAAAATTTAATGTAAATATTCACTCCAAAGTCTTCATTACACTTTTCAAGCTCTGGTTTTGAAAACTATTAACAATGTTTAAGTGTCTGCCTCTAAGATTTTTCACAAAGCCATTAATATTCTAAATTAGGCTCACGTCTGTAAGCCCAGCACTCTGAGAGGCAGAGGTGGGCAGATCACCTGAGGTTGGGAGTTCGAGGACCAGCCTGACCAACATGGAGAAACCCCGTCTCTACTAAAAATACAAAATTAGCTGGGAGTGGTGGTGCATGCCTGTAGTCCCAGCTACTCAGGAGGCTGAGGCAGGAGAATCACTTACCCAGGAGGTGGAGGTGGCAGTGAGCTGAAGTCACACCATTGCACACCAACCTGGGCAACAAGAGCAAAACTCCATCTCAAAATAAAAAAAGAAAAGGAAACTGTTATCTTAGAAACATTTTCCTTATTAACATACTAGGTTAAATTATATGCAGAAAAGTACTTAAAATGCATAATGTGAAGTCTTCCTTTGAGCATATCCTAAGTAACAGTAGAGGAGACACTCAAATTCGCTGTTGACAAGGTTGAAAGTTTTTGTCACAACTTTAGACAGCTGGGGAAGTCTATTTCTAAACTGTCATAATTATAAAATCTGTGCTTTAGAATCCATTTAAATTGAGATAAATGCTTCACATATTTAAATAAGAATGTATATTATGACAGATATTTTTAGAATATGCATGTTACTTAGTTGAATAGTACACAGTGTTAATTTCAATTGAAGAGAAATTTTCCATCATATTCTGATTTCTCTGATTGTTTTTTTACAGGTAATTCAGTGTATATAATATAATTTTAGTCTTCTTTTTATATTTCTCTTTTTTTATCCTTATGTGCTCAAAACAGACAATGGTCGCAATGTCAAAGGTAATGTACAGACTCAATTTTCACCATCTGATGCTCAACGTGCCCCTTTACTTGGCATGTTAACTTGCCTGCTGTATGCCCTGTCCAATGCAACACCTTCATGCTGCCTATTAGCTAGTCGGGGTGCCTGGTGGAGACATCATGGCTTGATTTTGCTAGAGACATTGTTACTTCTCTGCTGTGTCACCAAAATGATTATGAGCTCCTTTTGCCTGCAAGAATTATAAGCCTAGGTTGACAACAAATACTTCCTAAATACTTAAATCATTTAGAAATAAACAAATATCGAGCAAAATATATTCCAGTGTGTCAGAGGCACAAAAGCCTATTTCAGGAAAACAAAAATTTTGCGTGCAAGATTAAATAAAATAAGCCAAGTACTCCAAGACAGCATCACTTCACTTGTTCCTCTTTTGTTTCCTTAAAACTAGTTTCACGTTCCTGGATGGCAGGGGGTATGGTTTTAAGCTTACTGTAGTAGTAAACTATACATGCATGATAGTCATTTTCTATTTTTCTCTATTATATTTTAATCATTTTTAACTGTGTTCTACATTAGTCTGAAACCACTGGCATGACCTACAACTACCATAGGGTTATGTTTAACTGGGAATACTCTGGATAAATTTGGATTGAGCTAAAAATTTAAATTCACTTCTGTTTTCTACTATATCATAGTAGATACAAGGATGACAAAATATAATAACCATATGATTATCATCAAATTGAAAACCGTTGGGGCTTGGTCTTTCAGCAAAGGCCATGCATGCTGCTGTGGGTGTGCAAATGGTGACAGTGACTTATTTTGTGCATGTGTGTTGCATGAACAAGTCTCCACCAGTAACCGTCATGATTTAGAATTCACTGTTTTGGCCACTCTCTCCTTTATGTCGCTGGTACACTGACTGCTGTGAAATTTTGTATATTGATTTCTCAATTGCTTCCCTAAAATAAATCAGAGTTGGTGATGGTTATGTATTAATGGTACTAGGAAACAAAGATGTTTGGTCAGCAGCCTAGGGAAATTTAAAAATCAGGGAAATTATGGCAGTATCTCCCCAAAACCCACCCCAATTTTATTTTGTAAGCACTTTAAAAAAGGTCTATGGAGGTTGACCCTAATAGTGAAATGGGATTTCACCGACGTCATTCTTTTTTTTTTTGGCCTGTCCACTGTGATTTCTAAAATTGAGCAAATTAGTGTCAACTGTGTGTGGTGTTTTGCTTTGATATAATTCAGAACGTAACCTCAGGAAGCAGGATACAGATAGCTCTTGCCAACTGGGTTTAGGATTCAATGTTAACAGTAAATTAGTAGGCATTAATTAATTTTCAGATGATTTTTGCATGTAGAGATAAATGAATCTACTTTTTTTCAATAAATAGAAAATTGGAGTTGTTTTACTTTTCCAACTACTAGTTCACATATGTGTTATATATATATATATATATATATATATATATATATATATATACAGTTATTTCATTTTAGTGTCATAATAATTTTAGTGTCAAAATAATTCATTTACTCTCCAATCCTTTTTTCTCAACTCTCTCATTTTCAACAGAAGTAGTATTTGAATACAGATATTCTTTATTTATTACATAGACTTCAGATTGCACATCGATTTTACAATCATGATTTAAAGTATATGGTAGAATCATCAAAGCCAGAATTTGGCATTACAAATCTCTAAACTATCGTAGAAAGTTTTCATATATTAATACATAAGAAGTTATATTCCCATATAGGAGAAAACATTTGCAAACAATAAAATTTAATGTAAACATTCACTCCAAAGTCTACATTACATTTTTCAAGCTCTGGTTTTAAAAACTACTAACAATGTTTAAGTGTCTGCCTCGAAATGTTTCACAAGGCCATTACTACTGCTAATTACTTACAGGACCCTACATTAAGCATGAATTTAAATTTTTTGACTTGGCTTCTATATCAGATCTAAATATAAGACTTAAAAAAATGCAGGTTTCTACACTGCTTTGTGTACAAAATGCAAAATCATAATTATTTTAATATCTAATTCAACCAAAAAACATTTATTTACCATAATAAAATAAATAATTTAGGAATGTGTTGGTAATGTCTTCAAGATTATCTGGTTTATTCATGTCAGGTGGGGTGATGTCTAAATCCCTTACGCAGGTGGTACATTTATCTCCGGAGGAGGCCATTCTTTAACTTTCTTGGGATGTCCGTGTTAGTGCCTGTTACACAAAGAGGTAACCTAAATCCTCCTTTCTGATATGTATTTTTTCCGCTGCATCTATTTCTACTGGACAGAGATAATAGCTGACTACTACTAATCCTGATGAAATATCACAGTAAAAAGACAGCAAATTGGTACTCAATCTTATTTCTAAAGCTAATTTTCACTTCATCTTCTTTCTTAGGATCTGTTTTGTTTCCCTTTAATAAATTTCCTTAGCATTCATACTCCTTAAGCTAATACTTCAAAGTTCTTCATTAAAAGTCTAACCCATTGTCAAAGAGTGGAAAAGTAATTTCAAATAAATTGCACATTCTGTGTATACATATATATGTATTACAATTTTTTCACAATTTCTCTAATATGTGAGAGAGGTATCTAATCCTACCTCCATCATTCATATACTAATTTTTACCTCAAACATAGTGGCTTTTGTCTATTTTGCTTTCCAAGTCATCAATAAAAATCTGCATCACTTTCTGTACTTCATAAATAAGTCATGATACAATTTTGTCCCTTTAATGCTTCCACCTCCTTGTTATCTCAAGTAACCCAGCTTCCCTCTGACACTGAAGTGTTCCATTTCCAGTTTATCTATGAATCTGTCATATGACTCGGAAGTAAAACTATTTTCAAGGTTTGTTACAGCTTTTACCTCCTCTCTAGCCTATTTGATTCATAAACGAAATAAATTAATCTAATGCAACTTGTTTCTTATAGGCTATATGGACCATTACCCAGTGTCTTCTCGTTTGATAAGAATTTGCAAATTGATTTTCCATGAAAATAGTTTTCTCCTGCAAATAATGTCATGCATTGAAACAGACAATGTGAAGAAAAGTAATTTGATGATTGCCTCTTATGTATCTAAGTGGTAAACTAGTTTCCTTATACTTACTGACAGTGTTTCTTTACAAAGTTTAATTATTAAGCACCGCATTTGCATCTTCCTTCATGTTAAGTCACTTCAGCAATTTGAGTTTTATTAAACTTTAGCTAAAAATAAATTCAGTGGCCTATGAAAAATTGTACAAATACCTGATGATTTTAAAACAACCTTTGTTTGGTTTCCTTCTTTCCAATCACATTTGGCCCCCAAAAATGACTTTTTTAAGCAGGATTATTTTTTTTTAAATCTATCAGATGCTCTTTGCTATATTTCCAGCACCATCTAAAAGAACAATATATTCCCCATTAGCATCTCATAACTCATGATAAATTTAAATAGCCTCCTCATACAAATTTTAAATATTTTTAATCTAAAATTCTTCCCAGTTGTGGCTTTAACTTCTAGCTTTATTTCTAAATGTAGGTATTTCTTTGTAGCTGGAAACTGGCCTACCTTATGTTTAATCAGACACTTGAAATATATTATAGCACTATTTAGCTGTTGGTTTAGTCTACTTGGTCACCTGTTTTCCACTTTCTCCTAATATATTGAAAAATATAATCTGGTCATCCATCTTGTAAATGCTTCTCTTAAGAACATCAAGTCCTCCTCTATGTGCCTAAATTTTACATTACTTTCTACTGAATCTCTTACTTCCCTCTATTTCTGCCCATTCATTTCCTTTAAATTTATTTACTTTGTTTTTCAGGTTATTCTCCTTTCTTTTATTAGAATCCTAAATCCCATCTGTTCATGATCACTCTCAGTGAGGCTGCCTTTCACCTTTAAATCCTCAACCAAGGCCTCTCTGAATATAGACTTAGGAGGTAGGAAACCATGTATTGTGGTCCTTTATTCTTATTCTTTTTTGGCCTCATATTCTGTCTGCTTAGGTTTACAATTGGTGAAATAGGGATATTGTTAATACATACCTTAATTAAAATGTTGAATTTTTTTTTATTTGCATTTAGATGGGCTTAGAGGAACCTAAGCCGACACTGATTATCTTGCAGACTCTAGAAGACTTCTTCATTTAAACATCTGCTTTAAAATCAGTAGAAAGAAGCATAATTATCTTTTTTATACAGCATTAAATAAACTTTAAATGCCTTTTCTAAGTAGCATGCACAAGTTATTTTAAGTAATATTTTAAGTTTTGCTGAATTAATTAAAATGTATATTAAAAGAAAATCTGGATTAACTCTTTAAGACTAAGCCAAAAAAAAAAAAAAAAAAGAGAACCAGTTTAGAAGGTTCTTTCACCAGCAAATAAGAGAACCTCAAGTAGTGAATGTAATGAAGTTGCAAATTCTGAGGCCAAATCTGAGTATGACATTTTATCAACCAGTTTCTCAGTCATATCAGATTCAATGTCTCCTTATCTCTACAAATATTTTGTTATACTATTTTGCTATCCTGAAATGGAACTCTAAGATAATTTAACCTAGTTCTAAAATACCAACATGATTCCCTAACTGTAATATATGGGAGAAATAAAAGAAAAGCAGTTTATAATAAAATATTTATTTCAATATGTTAGTGTTCAAATATAACTACACTAGAAAACATAATGCAATAATCAGACATATGAAGAAAATGTGGTTTTAAAAGCAATGAGTACATGAGAAAACATTCATACAAGTACCAGATAAAATGGTACAGCAGGAGTATGGATGGGCAGCATAAACAAAACCACCAATGAAGTCAAGAACTGTATCACTTATTTATATATGAATTTTTCAAAATGGGAAGTAACTAAAATTGAATTATGATTAATATACCAATACAAACTAAAGAGAAAATAATGAAGCATGGTATTCTCACAAATGATCTAGCTCTTGCTTTTAATAGTAGTGTTAAAAATGATACATTATGTGATATAATGCAATAGTAGTGAATTGCACAGGAGAAAGAAATCCCACTAGATGTCAGGACATATGTTCATCCTGTAATACATAAAAAGGATTCTGTAAACATGTTTTGTTATGTAATGAGAAACAGAAGATAGAATGGAAAATGAAATGGCAATTAAGACATAGAGAAGTTGTGGCAGATCTCCAGGGAGTTTTGTGAATGAGATTGAAAACCAACAGGCAACCCAAAGACAAATAAATAATCTTTAAAAAGTGTGTCTTTTTAAGACATAGTTTTCTTTTCATTGTTCCATATCATTTTACATATGTAGGAGGATATTTATATGAAATATTTTTGAAGGAAATTTTATTAGTGTGATTTTGGTAATTCTCTGCAAATTTAATAATATTTGGTTCCAACACTGATAAAGAAGACTCAAATCTCTTAGCTTACATATTTACAAATGACAGATCCAAACACAGATTGTAATCTAAACTCTGAAATTTTATATTGGCCACTCAAATGCCATAAGGAATGTAGCTCAAAGTGGCATAATTTTCCAAAATGGTGAACGATTCTGATAATGTTCTGAACAAAACAATATATATTCTTACCTCTATGCAGAAGTTGTAGCTCTAGAAATTTCAATTTATATTAGCCTCATGTAAAAAGTACATTGTGGTATTTATATGTGAAGTAGTTCATTTTAAAGCTCAATTTATGAATAAACAGGCTTTTCACCTACATGAACGCCGTTGAGACATGTAAGGCAATTCTTTAAGGCAGGAGAATTGTGACACTGAAATCCTTTCGTAATTGTCATGACTAAAAATGCCCCCATGAATCTCCCCTAGAGTGACATACTACCACAGTTGAAATCACACGCTTATATAAGTGCAGCCCATTCAGTGGAGTTTATTGGAACTGGTCGCAAGGGCAATTAAAGTACACACGGTGTCTTTCTATCAACATCATAGAATCTGTGATAACATCGATGATCCATGATTTTAGCCCAAATTTTAAGCAACTCTGTGGACAATTTACTATGGAAATGCAGCATAGAGAAGGATGATGCAGAAAGAGAATGGAAAGATGAGCTTGGGTTTTGAATACAATTTAACTATATATTTGAGCTCTGTTACCTATAATCTCTTAATAGTATCCCTATTAGTTAAATAACCTAAAGAGTGAAAATATTATATTAAAGTCAGTGAAAAGACAATATCTAAGAAACCTAAAATCTTAGCATAATTTACAAATTATAAATATTAAGATATAAAACCTAGAACTCAACTGTAGAATGTTGCAGAAAGGGAAACACTATCCTGGTATGCATTACAATAAAATAAATTAGTGATGTGGGCTGGAGGCCTCTAAAAAGACCTGAAGAATGGAGTTTCTGTCAAAGAACTATCTGAAGCCTAGATTAATTTATTGCATTAGCTTTTATTTCTATCTTTGTATAAATAGATAAGAGAGTAAGGTTCTATATGTAAATGAGAACATATGAGGCAATAAATGCCTGGAGAGCTCATAACATTTTTCTTCTAGATGGACTTGGTCATTATTATCGATAAGACTCAGAGAGTCAACAGAAATGTAACTCAAGCAACATAGTATTTGTTAAATACATGAAAATTTCTTAATATTACTTTAAACTTTTATAATAAAAAAGTGTAAACATTAATAAACAAGTATAGTGTGATTTTCCCCCATAGTGACTATAAACAAAATGATGGGCATTGCTTTTTTAGTATTATATCTGACCTGAGTTGATTGATTGTTGTCCAAAAGGCAAATTCTTTAAGTCTAGTTTTAAAGCATTTATACCTTGCTTGATGCTTAAAACACACTTCAATCCTGAAAATAGTTTCACTTCATTTTGAACAAAGAAAAAAATAACATAAGGCAAAATATGCTGCCTAACAAGTTTATTGATCCAGTTTGTATGTTTTAACCACTTCCTGGGGCACAAAAATAGGGAGCTCATGATTTTTATAAAATTCTCCCTGATGTTAATTTTTAAGAGCTAAATAACAGCATATGTAATATTGCTCATTACACAAGATACTTCTCAGAAAATTTCCTTATTCTCAATAAGCAACAGACAACAGAGTCATCCCAAAGAAAGATATAGGAAGTCAGTCTACTCCCTCAACAAGGAAACCAGGAGTCCTGCCACTTTGCCAAATTATCTTTGTAAGAAAAATTTCAAGAAGTGACTAGATACCATCAGCTCCAGACATGCCCTATTACCTAACTGTGGTCACTTCTATTGTAAGTTATGTTTGCCAGAGCATTCTTCTTGTGTGGTTTTTATAGCATCTTTTATTTTTCTCAGAAAGTGGTCAAGTCTTAAATATAAGTGAAAGAAAAAAAACGATCTAAAAATTCCACATATGATCCTAGAATTTTTAATAGAGTACACACATGCACACAAAAATGGCCTTTCACCCTCCCCAGCTTTGTCTGTAATTCCTTTATCTGGGTTTAACTCTTTTAGAAGCTCTATGGAGAATCTCATATAGGTAGTGGAAACATGAAGAACCTAGATGGCTTGTCACTCCTCAGTAACACAGAGAGGGGAGTAATACAGATTGGAGCAGGGTAAACAGCCCATTTGGGAAATTTCATGGGCAATGTGACTTTAACCATAGCTAAGTCCTTCCTCAAATAATCCTCAAATTACAAAATGAAATTTTTAAACAACTTTAAAGGTAGAATTTGACCAATAACACAGAGTGTAGTTTTTTCTTTTATTCCAACCTTTAATGAAATAAGCTAATTAACAGCTTATTTACTGCCATTTACTCTCTGGGTGCACAACTAGAACCCAGTCTTATTCTCAGATAGTCACATGCCACTCCACGTGACCCAAGGTGACCCTAAGCTCCATGTCCAGGTATAAGCTGGCTGCATTTAGCACACTCAAATCAGGATCATATTGGTCATGAATCATTAGCAGGGCGTTGAGAACTGTCTCGTTCTTCTACATCTTCTTATATTACTCTTACAAATACTTTCCTTTTTTTTAAGGGCCCTTTAATCATATCAAGTCAAGCCTCCTGGGATCCACATCGGATTCAAACCTCAACAAATACAGCACCATTAACAAGATTCCACAGCTCACTCTGAATTTTTCAGATGTCAAGACTGAGAAAAAGAATTCATCTCCTCCTTCTTCAGATAAAACCATTATTGCACCCAAGGTTAAAGATCGAACACACAATGTGACTGAGAAAGTGACCCAGGTAGGACACAATTTTCTTATTAATTTCAACTGTTTTACAGGCTGTTTTCTGCACCATAAAACATATTATTTTTCTTATAAATGATTATCCGTAGAGGTAAGACATTTATTTGTACTCCTATTTATCTTGAGATGTTGAGCAACTCTTTAATATAACAGATTAATAAAGCTATATACTATGATTTTGTCTATTACAAGACTAAGCAAAACTGGGCTAATGACATGGTTGCTCCTACATTTGTAGAGGTAGTTAACCTGCTATTCATCATGTTTGGACACTTACTGTTTGGCTGTCAACTCTCATATTATTATCGCATGGTTTTTTTAATGTAATGGATGTGTCTATTGAAGCTTAGGGGACTAATTAGGATTTTCTCTGAACCATGGTATCCTTTTTGCACTTACTCTACTAAAAAGAGTCAGACCTAAGTCAATTAACCTGGGGAAAAGAGCTGTCTGAGATGATGAAAAGTCAGTGAAACTACACATTTTATTGAAACAATATCTTATTGTTTTCAAATAAATACTGCAACTTGAACTAGTATAAAAAGCTATGTCTAGCAGGAATACTGCTTCAGAGAGTAGATAGAAATGATTTCTACTTATTATACCAATATACCAATCTAAGCAGTACCTAGCTTTTGCTTACAATGCACTTACATTGCTGGGAATTCATGACTCTAAAATTAGTCAAGCAAGCAATTCTTTTATGAACAATTTACTCAGTATATTTGCTTAGCAAATCGTTGCATAAACTCTCTACAATATAAAGCCAAGCTTGCCCCCATTCTCTATCCCAAGCATTGAAGTTTTTGAATTAACGAAGTTTTTCTGTAATTGTAATCGCTACAAACAACACTATAGTACCGTTCCAGATAACCTCTTACATGTGAGCTGAAACAGCTATGAAAAGACCATGAGCAAGTTATAAATAGACCTGTGCCGTCTATATTTATTTGAGATGAGAACTTACACATGCCATTCTTGAGAGCTTCTTTTCTATGTATTTTAATATTTATGTAGTAATGAGGCTTTCTATTCTCGGCATTTCACTTAACTTACATTTAGTAACAGTTTACTGTTATGCACATTGCATTAACATCCCTTTGTATTTTCCTTTCATCTGTTTTTACTTTAAAAGTTCTATTATTTGTAGATTCCGACCATTATATGAATATATAGAAATCAAGAGACTTAAGAGAAGACAGAAGAAAAGTTGGAAATATTAGGGTCAGGGCCCTGAAAGCGCATAAGGGAATCAAATTCAAAGAGAAGCACAGCATGGCAGTGGGGACTGTGGTGAACTGTGGACTGCAGGCCTCATCTCAAGCAGACAGCTGATACACAGCTCTAGCTAATTGTGGTTAGGCAGAAATACTTGACCAATCAATGAATGTTTGCAAATCTTTCCATTTTAAAAGATAAGCTGGAAATGCAGAATTTAAGAAAACTTCTTTATTTCTTAAATTTGACAAACTAAAAAATGCTTTGAACTTTTTTAGGTCAAACAAAACACATCTTAAGGCCTGTGGGCAGCTGTGTGTGATCCCAGCAAGTTTTAGATGTGCTTGGTCCACCACAGAGGCTACTCTATCCTGCCATGTTCAGCAGATCCACTGTGCCAGAAGAGCGTGATACACACATAGATCTGAGAAGCACCTGCTCTAGGGGCTTTCCCAGGTAGTGGGACAGGAAACATATATATATAAATATCAATAATGAAATACATGATAATAAAGAATATTAGGGAGAAAGTTATTATTCCATAAGGGAAGAATTTACAGGGAGGAAAAAGAGACAGGATTAAACACTTAAGCCAGATCTAGAAGGTTACATCAAACTGCATAGTCAGTAAATTTCAAGAGCATAAATCAGAGTCAAACTGGATTGTGTTTTATTTCAGTTATTTATTGTAGGTCATGAATGCAAGCAGCATTTATTGTGTGACATTAAGGCAAATTTCAGGACTGGGAAAACTTATTTATCATAGTTGATATAAGAATTAAATAGAAATGTGGAAAGTGTTCATCATACTACTAAGTACGTAATGAGAAATGTCAGATCATTATTATGTTTATTAATATTCCTATATGATCCCCCTGCTCTCCTCACCATCTCTGAAGGATCTCTTTATCCCTACATCATGAGGGCCTAGTAGAACCCTGGCAGAATGGAGTTCATCAAATATTTGCTGAATAAAAGAGTGCATAAATTGATGGAAGAGTTAGCCAAGGGAAGGGATAAGAATTCCAGGTAGAAAAAAAAACATAATAACAAAGTTATGAAGGCATTAAAGCCCATGTCTTTTTAGAACAAGTGGCCTTCTCAGCCAGTGAGAGGGTAGTCTGAACAATTTGCCTTCAAAATAATCCTTTTATACCTTTTCACATAAATGTCTTGGGAGTCTGAGTAAAATGCAACAGCTTCCATCAGAAGCTTTGCATGTTTTTCTGGTCTCATGCTTTATCTTTAAAAGCCCTCTGACTTTCACATTTAGCTTTGTAACATAATAATGTTTTAACAATGTTTTAAATATTGCTATAGACCTAATATTTGTATCTCCATCAAAATTTACATGTTGAAACATAATCACCAGGGTGATGGCATTTGGAGGTGGGACCTTTGAGAATAGGTCATGAGTATGGTGCTGTCATGAATGGGATTAGTGTTCTTATAAAAGAGGCCCCAGAGAGCTCTTTGGCCCCCTTCTGCACTGTGAAGTTACAATGAAGGTTATCTATGAACAAGGAAGCAGGCCCTCAACCAGGCACTAAATGGGCTGGCAACTTGATCTTGGACTTTACAGCCTCCAGAACTGTGGACAATACATTTCTCTTGTTTGTAAGCTACCAACTTGCTAAGTATTTTATTTTAGCCGCCCAAATGGACTAAGATGACTACTTACCACTCAGTGACCATGAAGCCCACTAAAAAACTCCAGAGTTTTCATAAAGCTTCTTATACTTTCCACAAATTATGGAGTGTCCCCCTCCTACTTTCCAAAGCACCCCAATTGGAGTGGTATAATACAGGTGAAAGACTTTTTCGAAGTGCTGGAATATCATAATTTTGATCATATTTTATATAAGTTCACTTTTTTTTTACACTGTAAAAAATACAATGAATGGAAGGAAATTCTGGAGGCAGGTAAAACACTTAAGTTGCTATGGTCCTTGCTAGAAATAATAAGGGACTGAATAAAAGCTGTGACCACAAACTGGGAAAAAAGGCATCAGTAGCAATGCTTTATCTTCTTTGTATGCGCCCCCTTTAGCTCTCAGTAGCAAACCTTCCAATCATCCACATGTCAAACCAAACAACGTAGAGACCAAATATCAAGAACTTCCTCCTACAGGCATAGCCTCTTGAAATTTTATTTAACCACTTGACAGCAGAGCTCTTCAATAACTCAATTTTAGGATTATATATTTTATTTTGTTTTTGTGAAATTTCGAAATTACAGCTATCTTTGATTTTCCATATTCACTAGTTTTAACATCAGTTGTCCTCTAGTCACCACAAACAACTTGTTAATAACTAAAACACTTTACTTGTCTTTTTTATTTCTTTTTTAGGCCTGCCTGGAGAGTCTCCTTGTCAGGAAATTTCCAACATATCTGCTGTAGACAGACAGCAGTATTTTCTTAATCAAATGTTCTTGCTTATTTTATTCACATAATAGACTTGTAATTTTCTTTAAAAGAAGTCAAGATTTTGTTTATAGATTATTCAACAATAAATTTAAACACTCTTCAGTGCACAAACAGTAGAGCAGTCATCAAGAGAAAAAAGCATAGATGTTGTTCTGTCTCACCACTTGAATCTTATCTCTCTTACATTAAATTAGAATTAGGTGATTAGTTATTGGCCTCCTCAGCTAGAGTGACCTTCAATGTAGGGACTATGTGATCATTCATTCATTCATTCATTCATTTGTTTGTTGTTCATTTGAGTGTTTGTTTAGTCATTCAAAAGCATTTATTGATATACATTATATATTATATTATATATACACTATATATTATATACAATATATTACATATTATGTATATATATAATATATTATATATGTATTGTATATACTACATATGTCTATATAATACACACATATTATGTGTATTATATATAATATATATCAATATGTATATTATATATGATACATAATGTACATCAATATGTAATATATACACATGCAGTGCCAGGTGCTGGGAATTCAGAGTTTAAAGGCAAATCTCTGCCTCTGAATCTTGAAGAAGACAGACAAGTACAGTACCTTGGCATTATCATGCAATGTAAAGTATTTTTCTATGGGTAAACACAGAGTGTGCAGACGGTGCTAAGAGAGGAAACTTTACCTGCATTGGGAGTTTGGGTTAGTGTTTGGAGAATATAAACTCTTAAGTGAGTTTTGGAGCTGAGAATTTTCCAAGATAAAGAATAAAAATCTGAAGTGAAACACATGTGGGAATCTCTATGTACCAAAGAATGCATGAAGCATGAGGTGTTTGTATGATTAGTGCCTAGTATAATTATGTGACATACAGTAGCATTGTAAAAGATTCAAAAATAAACCACTGAGGGTATTGGGTTGAATAAGGCAAGATTAAGTCTGCAGTCAAAAATCTCCAAAGCAAAACGCCTTCCTTCTGAAACCTTTTGTTAGGCAAGCCTCCAGTTCTTTCTGTTATTTGGGATCCATAGACCTCTTTGACCTTATTAATCTTCTGAAATGCATCATGTCATATTTCATTATGCCATATTTCATCTGACCTTCTTTATTTATTTGGAGAAAAGAGAATATAATTCTCAGAAGATGTGTGTGTGTTTTTTTCCTTCACTACAGTCCAGCCAGTACAGGCTGATGTGCAGTAGTGTACACCTCAGGGAGGCAAGCCCTTGGCTGGCCGTTTCTACCAAATTTCAATGGAGTGGTGAAGAGTTAACAATGAATTGTAAGAAAAGTTGGGCGGAGAACAAAGGTAAGGTCTCCTTTTACCAAGC